TCCGTCTGCTGATGACCTGCCCACCATTAGGACTGACAGACTCAGAATGGGCTCAGCATACTTCCTGCCTGCATGGGTGGTCCCAGGATCAGGGGGAAGGAAGCTGACAGCTGAGAGCAGGGCAGGGATCACCGTGTCAGGCACACCAGAGGGAGTGGGCAGCTTTGGTTTCACTGCTTTCGGGGCTTTTTTGTTGTTGTTCAAACCCAAGACAAGGGCCACTGGGAGCTGGGGAAGCAGAACCCTCACTCCTCACCATCACTTCCCCAGGCCCATGTTTCTAAGGTTCTGATCAAATTCTTTCCTGAAATAGTCCCAGAAAGGGGCTCCAACCTCAGTTCTACTAGACGAGTTACTGGGAGGACGCTGGCGATCCACATTAGCCCTGGTGGGCTTCAACATGTGTCATTTAGCTGCTGTGCATGAGCTTGGATGCTATAAGCGATCCTGGGGTCACCTGACCCCCACAGGCTAAGACCCCTTACTCTTCGCAGTGCGGAACCATCATACGCACCCCGCTTGGATTTGTGCATTTGGGAACCTCCTTTGCTCTGTCCCTCAAAACAACTAGGAATCTGAGAAAGCAAGGACAATATTGACTCTGTTTCAGGTCCTGGGACTCACTGTACAATCAGTTTTGCACACAGATGAAGGAAGTTTCTGTAGGGTCAAGCAGGGAAGAGAGGCCCAGTGAGAGGACATGGCTGAGGCCACACTGCTAGACAGAGGCAGAGCTGATTCCCACCCAAGTTTCAGCTGATACTCTGGAAGCCTGGGGAGGAGAGATACTGTTCACTCTGCTCCACAAGTAGACATGTGCAAAGATACTGTCACGTGGAGTGACAGGTGGGAAAGGATTTTTACTTTAGGGATAAGAGAAATTAGAAGTAGTGAAACAGTGACTATCACTAAGACTTATCCACTACCCACAGGGACAGCAGAAACTGTCACCTCCAATGAGGTTGTGATATCTGCTGTGGGCTTCAGCCTTCTCTCTCACGGAGCTGTTTCCCAGAGCTGCCATCCAGGAGCAGCATGGATGGGTTCACATTACACCTTCTCTTGTTTCCTGGCTTACTGGGGGAGAGAGGGAGGAGAGCAGAATGGCCCGGTGTGGGGGAGGGGTGGAAGAAGGAAGGGAAGGAAGGAGACAGAGGGCAAAGGAGGAGGAGGAGGCAGAGAAAGAGAAACTAGGGTAACCATACTGTCTCGATAATCCACTCAGTGGATTATCAGCCCATAAATAAATGAAAAGCTGTGCGGTATTGCTACAAAGAGAGATTCTTTCTGCCTAGATAAGGCCAGAGGCAGATGAACAGATGCCTCATTTACTCCATCATCCCTTCACAGGTTTACCTGGTGTGCTCTTAGCATCCATGCCATGGGGGCACTGGGTAAGGGCATGCAGTTCTTGGAACCTGGAATGCCGAATGCCAGGAACCCTCAGGAATTAATTACAACAGGTACCCGTGTCAGGAGGTAACTTGTCTGAAATCTTTTGGGGCAGGTGCTAAAGAGATGCTTTCTGGAGCAGGGGACACGGGGCTGGCCCTGAGTATGAGCATGAGAAGGCACAGGGAATTCCAGAGCCAAGGGGAACCCATAGGTCAGGCAGGGAAGGGGTGAGATGTAGGGTGTGTTGGGGACAGTGGGGCTGTGACCAACAGGACACCTCACAGAGAAGGAGAGATGGTGCTGGCAAGTGGCTGTGTTGAGGATGTAGGAGAAAGGCGACTGGCGGCTGAAGGAGGGAAGGGAAGAAGCCTCCAAAGATGCCCAGAAGGAAAGATCACAGACACTACAAACCCACCAGATGGGAGGAGGGGCAGCATGAACAAGCAGTGATGTAAGGATTTCTCAGGGTGGGGCCATTCATGGGGTAAACAACTCATAATATAGTGAAGGGAACTAAGTTTCCATGCAGAATGGCTTAGAAATGCTTCCTGGCCCTTCATTGAAAGGCTCAAAACACATCTGAGATGATAATCGGGAGGCAAGCCGCCTGTCTTGGTAGTCTCTAAAACCCAAGGGTGTTTGGTGAAGGTACTATTACAGGCTGGAAGCAAGAGGAGACTAGGCAACTCCCCATCACAAATTTCTGCACGGTCAGATGGAAGCAGAGGAGCCCGAGCCCCTCTGAAGCAAGAGGCCTCCAGACTGAAACTCAACAGGCATCGGCCACATCTGTTGTCCCTGTGTCCTCAGTGCCTGACACCACAGCCTTGCCTTTGGGATCATGAGGGCGGGATGGTGCAGAAGAGGATGCAGAATGGGAATGGAGGTTCAGTGAAATCTTTAAAGCCCAGTCTTTAGTTCAAGCCAAGCCAGCCTCAAAGTCACAGGATTCCACTCTGTCCACTTCCACAAAGGACTTGATGACTGAAAAGAAATGGGTGAGTTCATACCACAGCTGGGTTTCCCTCAGAGGAAACTGTACTTTCATGCATTACCTGTGGCTAGGTGAACTGGTCTATTTTTTTGAAAGTGATTTGGTAAAATGAATCAAGCACCATGTAATGAACCCATGTTAGATTAACTAATCACACTTGTGCAAATCCGTAGTAATGAAACATTAAACATGAAACACTAAATACTACACAAAGATACTGTGTGCTATGTTAGAGGATTAAAAGCTGGGGAAAACTGGAAACTGATCCTCCATGCCCTTCTTTGGAAGACAGATACAGTGGTACCCCTGTTCACAAACTTAATTTTTTCCATGATTCCATTTGCAGTCGTGGAATGAATTCTGCAACCAGAGTCATGGAGAGAATCAAGTTAGTGAACCAAGGTACCACTGTAACCACATTGTTACACTTATTAGAGGAACTACTATGCAGGTATAGTTTTCAATATTAGGTAACAACTTGGTAACATTTATTAGAATGTTAAATGAAAAAAGAAATGAATGTATATCATTACAAATTTATTTTTTAAATCTTATACATAACAAAAGGGTCTAAGAAGTGGCAATAAAATGCTTTTAAAAGTCAGTTTTGGATGAGAGAAGTTTTGAAAGACATTTTTATTTCTTTTTCAATGTTCAAAAATTTTTGTTGTGTATATGGTTGCTATACCCAAGTTCTTTTTTTTTTTTTTTTTGCGGTAGCGGGGATCAAACTCACGACCTTGTGCTTGCCAGGCAGGCACTTATGCCATTGAGCTGTATCCCCAGCCCTAAGAACCTGAGTTCTAATACATAATGGATGTATATTTAACCTCACAGTAGCTGACAAAACAGTGTATTTCCCTCTTCTCTGCCTTCCTTTGGCCTAAGCCCTTTAATAGAAACAACTGTGACACTGAACATAGCTTTTATCTGTGCTGGGCACACTTTTAAGATCCTCACAGCTATTAAATCAATAAATACAGCAATCCCAAGGGATAGTAATTATTATTAATGTTATTCTCATTATTATTATTGCTAAGCAAATTGAGGTACATAAAGATTAGTCACTTACTTAAAGAAATCCAGCTATTCCATCAGGGAAGTGGGATTTGAATCCAGGGAATATGGCTCTCACTCAGTCAAAGAAAGTAAGCGACCAAATAGGGGGCTAGCAAGGCAGACAGGCAGGCAGGAATGGCAAATCATACAGATATAAGGGTGAGGGGCAACTGGGGCTGGAAAGTGAAGGCAGAGAGGAAGCGTTCGGGCCTAATGGAAGTCCTCCCCAGTGGGAGCCTCAGTTGCTGGCAGTGACATCCTTCTTTCTGGGAGAAAGGATGGAAAGTGTGGAGTGACATCTGGAAGGTGAGCAGCCACCTCTGTGTATGTGTCTAGCCCACCACTGGTGAGGGAGGAAAGGTAGCACTTAGCTAAACATGATAAGTGAGGAACTCCATATTTCCATAAACCAGGTCTTAATGATTTCTTTGCAAATTGCTCCTGAAGCACCCACGTGGTTATGCCTTCTCTGATGGAGTGGTGATTTAGATTTCAAAAGAAGCTCAGATTTTCACATGATTTTTAGATGCCTCAAGGCTTTAACTTTTGTGACCATCAAATCCAGACCCTGCAATCCCTGTACCCTTAACTTACATACACGCATTCCTAAAGCCAAATAGGATAAATATACTCTAGAAATAAAGGTCATAGATAGGCATTTTTAGCCCCCTATTAAAAGTAAATAACCAAAGCGGTCGTGTCAGGAGCAACTGTGGGAATGCAGTGGTGGCTGCAGTGATACCGAACGTAGTATTTGATTCTCATGTTGGCTCTCACTGCTGTCTGTCCATAATCTCTAGATTGAGTAAATATTTGGATGCTATGTCTGAGCCCTTTATCTGGTATTCTATACTTTTAATTTGTTAGGTCTAAGACTCAGAAAGGGCTTTTCAAATACCCACCCTATAAGACCTGAGCCTAAATGCAGCTGGTCTAAACTGGAACATGTCATAAATGGAGAACTCTCAGCTTCTAAGCCATATCAGTAAAGCTTACTTTCCTGATGGGCGCTCCTACCCAAGCAAAACAACCAGAGGCTCTGCAACTGGGCATCAACCTGTCCCTCTGTATAAAACTTCAACTTTTTGTTGAAAATTTGGCGTCTTACCCAGCTTTTACCTGAACAGAGTCAGGGACCTTCCTGTATTACTCTGTCAAAAATGTATATTTCTTTGACACAAGTCTATTTTATTCTTCTTTGATGGAACCTGCAATCTTAAGTTCCAAAAAGCACTGCTTCCCTCTCATCTTTATTAATAATAGAAACCACAGGAGTGGACTCCAGAGACCAAATTTTTCACTTTGTAGTTGAGCAGAGAAGGCCTAAGAAGACGTCAACCTGCAGCATCTATCAAATTGGTGACAGAGCTGCTCCTGGCTCCCAGTCCAGGCTGCTTCTCAGTTTTCACACAGCGCTGAAGGACACAGTGGCCACTTCCTCAGGAAGGAGCAGAGGCTGCCCCACCACAACCCGGTCTCCTCTTTCCCACACCCCATGCAGAGACCACTCGTCGGAGCCCGTTCAGTGGAAGGATAGATCAGGGGTTCTTACTCATTTCCATGTACTCCGGAGTCAGCCCTGTGTACGGTTCTAGGCTATAATCTAGGTCCCACTGCTCTGGATGTTTTGAATGCTCGGGGTCAGCTTCTCCAGGTTCTGTCTCATCTTTCAGCTTCCGAAAGAGTTTCTTTAGTTTCCTGGAAAAGGAACAGAGTAGTCACCAAAAGTCTCTTGAGAACAGGGTTATTTCTGTGGACAGAAAGGAGAATACAACTAAATTTTGATGTTAAAGCCATCTCTTACTCAATGTCAGATAGACACTGAGGAGATAACTTTTCTCCTAAAGACAGTCTTCTTGTTTCTTTGGTTTTGATACTGGGAATCAAAGTCAAGACCTTGCACTTGCCAGGCAGGTGCTGTGCTGCTGAGCTATATCCCCAGCCCTTCTTTATGAAGATAATGAAAGACCCACACTCCAACGAGAAATGAATTTATTTAAACCCAAAGAAATGTTTAATTCTTCTTGCAACAAGAGTTGGCCCTTCCTGTCAAATATAAAGTCAGTTTTACTGCCTAGCAGGAGATTGTCCATTCTTCACAGGGGACGGAGGGTCCAGAAAGTGGAAGAAAGATGCTTTCCTCAGGTGAAGCATTTTTAGGGTCTCAATAACATCACATTTCCATTAAAGTCAAGCTACACTTTTCCCACCACCAGAATGGACTGAATTTTTGTCCTCTCCAAATTCAAATGTTGAAGCTTTTATACACAATATGAGTGGTTTTGGAGATGGGGCTTCTAGGAGGTGATTAAGATTAAACGCGTTGATAAGAATGAAATCTTGATATAATAGGACTGGTGTTCCAAGAACAGGGAGAGAACTCTGTCTCTCTGTCTCTGTCTCCCTCTCCATCATGTGAGGACACAGAGAGAAGACAGTCATCTGTAAGTCAGAAAGAGCCTGCCCAGGAACCTAACCTTGTTGGATCTTGGTCTTGGCTCCAGAACTATGAGAAAATACATTTCTGTTGATTAAATCACCTGACCTTTGGTATTTTATTATGGTAGCCCGAGAAGACAAGACAACCACATTCAGGTTTGTTTTGGTCTAGATTGATGACAAGGTAATAATGGCCCAGCTTCTCAGAGTTAGTATGAGAATTAAATGAAATGATGTTTATACCATCCTGAGCACAGTATTGGGGCATTATGAACACTAAGAAGTGAGAGGTATTATTATTTTTAATATTAAATGCTAAAATGTGCCTGACAGCGTAGTCATTTCGTATTTCTTAGTGATGCACAATACATAGAGAATAAAAATAGGGGAAGAGTTGGGTGACAGTTCTGCTAATCAAAGAGGAAGTTCTTAGGTGATAGATAGTTGAGAGGACTAGCAGCATAACAGTCAGAATCAATCTTGAAAACTCTAAAAGGATTGCGTGAGGTCCAAGCTTCCCCCAGTGCAGGAGTCACACCTACCTAGCCTCCAACATTCCTCACCCAAAGCCTTGTACATAACACTTGATCCGATTATCCACCTTATTCTGCTGTTACAAAGTGTTTCTGACAGTCAGTCGGAATCTAATAGTTCAGAATAATGTTCTGCTCAGGGTCTTATCTAATATATGCCACCGAGTTAGTCACTAATCTTAGGTGCCAGAAAATACTTCTACAAAAGCAAGATTCACAACTCATCCACTATATTTCTGTGGAAAATGTTATTCAAACTCTGTAAACTTTAGTTTTCTACCTTCAAAGTGAAGAAATAAGTACTAACACTCCCGTGGATTCAGTGAAGGAAGGTACTCCATGCGACATGCTCGGGACTGGCACGCGGAGGAAGTGTCCCTACTGTCACTGTCCCTCGCTTCCGTGTCACCAGTATCAACAGCAGCATGTGCATCACAGAAGAAGGCAAAGAGTGGGCTAAGATCCATTAGGAGCAGCAATGAAAAGTTTTTTCTAATAAAATAGCAAACAATAAATCTACCATAATTAAGAAACCAAGAAAACTAGATGGAGCCTAAATATTCTGAAACCAAGTAGTGTGAACTGGTTCAGACTCTATCTGTGAATCAGTGTAAGAGTGGGTGAAGGAAAAAACACAACAGAGAAAAAGAGAAGGAGGCATGGAAAGAAGGAGGGAGGGGGAGAGAAAGAAGGAGGAGGAGGAAGAGAGGAAGGGAGGGAGGGGGAAGGAGGGGGAGGCCTAGAACCATACTCAAATTAAGAATTTTCTTCAAGGTACCAGGGATCAGAAAACTGGGCCAAATCTTTAGTAAAAATAGCAGGTTTAATTTTACATGGACAATTGAACAAAAGCATATATTCCTTATTTACTTCTGAAATGCCACTAAAATAATGATGAATGAATAAAATGTATAAAAGTATACATTAATGAAAAGAGTCCTGGACACAGTAGCATGCAAGAGATTGAATGACTATCTTGGAAGACGGCTTGTGTGTAAAGGAGGCGGCAAAGTTGTAAGAGCTGAATACTGAGTGTCTTGAGAGGAAGATGGTGAGAACAGCAAGTCAACTCATCTGCAAAAGCTCAGCGAGGTGCAGGAATCAGGGGCACCAGGTGTCCCACAGGCAGCGGGCAGTGACTGGACTCAGCTGTGTTTATGAAACAGTGATTCAAATGTCTCTATGCTCAGTTTGCCCAGGGAACTAGCACTTCCTACTACCAGCAACAGCAAGAGATGTTTCTGAAGAGAAAATGAACAAGGGAGAGTGAGGTTCCCTAGTGATTCCAACAGGATCAGGTGGAGGGTCCCCGGAGGCAACAAGTAGCAACTGTTAACCAGCTCCCAGAGAGCGGAGGACAGGGTAGGATAGACACAGAGATCTGAGAATCACCAAGGAGAGGGCAGCCAGGGCCCTGGCAATGAACATAGGCTATGGGTGATGCTTAGAGTCATCAGGGAGTCCTGAGGAATAGCAATAGGTAAAGCTGGCCTGGGGACACAGGGGGCTTCAACACACAGAAAGGAGCAGAAGCACAGGCCAAGTGCACATCTGGGTGGCCAAGGCAGCCAGGGAACAAAAGGAAGGGCCTTCAGCGTCCTTTCAAGTGTAGGCAGGTCTGAAAATCACAGGGAAAATCCGTCTACAAATAGATCTATGAGCCTGCAATTCCCAGAAGTCTCCCTCCTGGATATCTCAGTAACCATTAAAACAATTAATCAGGAATGTCTCTACAGAGCAGGATTTAAGAGGAATGCTGCGAGCTGTATAGCATGCAGATGGGCCATTTGGAAAACTTCAGATTCTGATTCCGACCGTATGATGCACCCGCTTGTTAAAATAACTCTTTTGAAGTTACCCCCTTGTCCTTTTCATCTGCTATTTCTTCTGTCCTTTTTTAATGACAGATCTTAGACACCCTCGGGAAGCCTCCAAGCTTTCCCTCTGCCTGTGCCCATGGGCTCACACCCAGACCGTACGACTGTCACACCTTGGACTTTCTTGTCACAAAAATCTGGGCCCAAGATCATTCCTGCAGACCTGGCTTTGTGGGCCTTCAGCCTCACTAGCTCTCCATGGACAGCCACCAGGAAGTCATCCGCCTCTGGCCTCCTACTTTTCTGATAACCGACAAGCTTCCAATGTATCCCCTACACTTTGACTCCAGATCATATTCTGTATTTGAGAAGACTGGCCTCCTGTAATGTCTTTAAAGAGAGACTGTTTTCTGTCTTAAAATGTTGTATTTATCACATTTAGACAAAAAGAAAAGACATGAAATCTTACTACCTACCTGTGTCCAGAAATCTATCACAGGTCTTTTGGGATGTCTCTACATTTACTAAGAATAAGAACAGAGAGACATTTTGCCAGAACAAGGATGGACCTGTCTGTCTGCATTGTCCATCACAAAGGATGCCCATAAAAGAAGTGAGGACATGAAAAAGGTGATGCTTCCCCATTCACAAAAGTTCCATCTCTCTGGATGATAAAAGGCTCATTTCTAGCTTTGCTTCAATAGATGCAGAAGCTAAATTTGAGATAAAATTACAGCAAAGGGGTGGGCCTGGACCATGGCATGGAGTGCTGTAGGGGCATTAGGTGGTTTAGATTCAAAGTCTATTTCGCACACATCCATCCATCTGGAAAAAGTGAGGCGCTGAGGGTAGGGAGACATCTGTCCATGGATACAGGTAATAAACAGCAGAAAACCAGACTGTGTTACACCACTCACTTTGGTGAAGTCATCTCAAAAAGAGCTGACTATTAGCAGTATCCTAGGCCACTAATGTTTAAAACCATTCAGCTCCATTCTGGAAAGTATCTGCCGTGACTGTGTTAGGGCCCAGGAGCCTAGCATTGCGTGAGTGAGGATAGTCTGAGACCAGACTATGCAACCAAGTTTTATCTATTATCATAACATTAGTCACAGAGCTGACTTTAAAGTGCTTCGTTTTAGTGCCTCTCTTTGAAGCATCTCATTTTTTCATCTCCAGTGTTTCCAAACCAGACATAGTGAAGACATGGGGTCCTGCTGCCTGGTGGACATGGACAGACAGTAGGGCTTCCTAGTGGCCCTGTCTGGGGCACCTGCCGGGTGTAGGGATAGAGTAACTGTGATGCCTTTGGAAAATCTGTTCCTTGTATCTTATTTGAGTGCCTAGAGCAAAAGGCACTTCCTTTCCTGCTCACATTCAGCCTCTCAGACAAGAGTTGAGGGTAAGACTCCAGGCTGCTACTGGTATACCTTTATCACCTCCCCAGTGATGGTATAGCTTCCTTTTGGACAAATAGAATGCATAGCTTAGCTAAGGAAGCTAAGCTTGGTAGGAAATAATGCCATTGATTGTTTAATCGCATTTTGATTTTATTTTCTATTTTCCTACCATTATACTGTTATTTATTGTTCACAGTAATGGATAGTGTTCATCCATTTTTCATCTTCAGAAATGTTTAGATTAAAATGAAAGGTGTGTTGGTTTAGAAAAAAACTAAAATGCAAAATAGCTGTTTAGGTAGATATGGAGGAAATTTTTAAAGTTGGTTTACAAATGACTAAAAATTGGGAAACAATATTCTAATTCAAGAAGCCTGCTGAGCTGTACAATTCTTAAGGCCATAAAGTTGTTATTTTTGCAACACACACACAAACACACACACACACACAAACAGAGTTGATGAGAATGTTGTAACGTCAAGGAGAGAGGTAATTATAGGTGACTTCCTGGACAATTAATAAAAGTCAATTAGATAGACTTTGACATTTAAAAAATTTTATAAGGATCTTAGAAAATTAATTTCAGAAGGAGATGGTGAACTAAAGGCGATTGATCTTATAACTATATCATCTTGTTTTTGTGACCCCAAATATTCTTATCGAGCACAATCATCTACTGAATTCCTCAGACTTGCTTTGTTTCAATTGTTTTTTTCTGGTACTAGGGATTGAACCAAGGGGCACTGTATTACTGAGCAGCATTCTCAGCCCTTTTATCTTTTACTTTCATACAGGGTCTCAATAAATATTCTAGGATGGCCTCAAACTTACAATCTTCCTGTCTCACCTTCTCCAGTGCTGGGATTATCACCCAGCTTGCTTCTATTTCTAAAAGTAAAAATTTAAAAAAATTAAATCTAACCTGTGAGGTTAGTATTTCTACTCTGAAGACCCTAGAGTGGAATGTTATGAACCAAAAGCTACTGGGCCCATAGCAAAAGTGAACAGCAGTGTTCCTAAGTTAGGTCTTCACAGTCTCACTCTCTGAACTTGAAACATTCATGAAATACCAACTATAAACATAATGCCCACAACATACAATAAATTGTGGGCTACCTGGAATCCTTATGAATAGGTCTTCCTTTTTATATTTTTTGGATAGCTGAGCATTTTCCCCAGTCACTTTCTTTATGTAATCACTTAGATATAAATCTTTCAAGAATAGATTTCTGATGTCACACAGTTGCACAGCCAGGGTTTAAACCCAGATCTGTTTGGTCACTAAACCTCTGCCCTACAGAGATCTCTTAATGGCCACGAAGTGTAATTTTTATAATTTGCATGACTTCTTCCTCATTGTCATGCTTAGAATGTTGTTGTTTTTTGTTTTTTGTTTTTTTGTTTTTTTGGTTTTTTTTACTTTGAGACAAAGATTCTTTTTAAAAATATTTACTTTGTGTTGTTTAACTGCACCAAAAAGATATGAGCAGGAGCTTGGATTCTGGATTGGAAGAGTCTAATTAAGAGTGTGCTCTGAGTCCATAGCAAAAGATCTAATAATCATAATCACAATGATTTCCTATGAGAGAGTTCAAATGTAACATACAGGTTTATAAATAACTTGGACTCTGTGGCGCAGTATTTGCTCCAGTCTCCTGAAGTCACCTATGTAATTATGTTGAATGTATCCTTTGCAGACAAGAAGCTGAAATGAGAAAGCATTGTAAAACCGTGCCTTGTATTTGGAGTCAGCAGGGACCACCCTCACTTCACAAAGGAGAGGTTCATTGGGTGCTAGATCCACAAAGCACCTTAGAGATGCTTACTTTGCTGCTATGCTTATCAAGAGATGTGGACAGCAAGACTTTGTGAATTACGGTGTAATTGCCATGGATTAAAGTGCGGCATACTTTTAAATACACAAAGTATTAAACACACATCAAGCATAAACAAGAAAATTTGGCCTTTAAGGCAAACCACCATGTGTTATTTTCATCTGCCATGGAGCTGATGGAGTTGATAGATGGAGAACATACCAGCACACTGTCCAAACATGCCTGAGGTTTTGTCTCTCTTCCATTCTACAAAAGGCTTCTAGGTCCAAAGAAAATAGACAAAGTGGTAAAGCAGATGTCCAGGGATAAAAAAGATGGGTATCTTGTGCCCATAAACTGTCTAAAATTCTATCCAGAGGAGAACAGCAATGCAATGGAAGGGAAGGTGATTTCTGTAGATGTTGGAAGGGGAATCTAGACTCCTTTGCAGCAGAGGTGGAGGAGGTGCCTGCATAGCTTCAAAGGGGGCAGATGTGGTTTTGGTATAATCCTTATATTTTTTTGGATACTGGTCCATAAGAAAGACTGTCTCTCCAAGATGCTCAGCTCCCAGAGAACAAGAATCATCTGTTTCACTAGCTTTGCTTGACTATCACTCAATGACTTTAGTCAAATTAGCAAGAAACAAGGGAAGGCTTCAAAAGCTGGAGCTTTGGGCTGATGAGTAAAGATGGAGTAAGCAAAGAAATGGAATGATATTCCCACCAATCCTAAGTGTTACCTCAGGTTGTTCCAGCATGTGCACAGAAAGCACCCAGAGGGTTCGACCTAATTAATGCAGTATGCTGGTGAGATCCCTCCAGAGAACTGAGAAGACACCGGGCTACGAGGAAATGTTGACGACTCTCTTTTCTTCAGCTAGGGCTCTCACTTAGAAGTTTTCTTCCCTGGCAAACTAAAGTTTCTCCATTAGAACTTTATCTCTGTAAATGTGTTTCTGAAGAAAACCAAAGAATAGCTTCCTCACAGGACCTTTCTAAGAGTGAGACCCACCCCAAAGCAGGTGGTTCTGATAGAAAAGATGGGGCCATATACCTCTTCACAGTTCCTTTCAGCCCAAGTAATCTAGGACTCAGTGACCTAAAGGGATTCTGGCTCTTGCTTTTGCCATGTCCCTGCCATGTTCCAAGACTTTGCAAAAAATTGCCATCTCTTCGAGGCTTTCCTTCTCTTCTGTAGCATTACTCACTCATGAGGTGTTTGTGATGAGAATAGAGTCGATCTGCTGTGTGTTTAGAAAAGATATCCATACCCAGAGGAAATGGTTTCTCTAAAGAAAACAATGGCAGATCATCTTGTAACAGAGGATGGTGGCAGCTTGCTTTCAAGACACGCTGGAGAAAGCCCTTCTGCTTCTGAAGGCTTTGTGGCTGCCTCTAAGTCCTGACCTTGACTTCCTCTGACTTTGAATGGAATTTGTGTTGCATAGAGCACACCCAGGTATATACACGCTCTTTTGTCTCCCAAACTAAAAATTCAAAGTCTGGAAGACAAGAGCCATTTCATATGATTTCTTTCCATGTCCGAGTCATATAGGCCAAGAGGTGAAGACAATGACCTTTCCTGCAAGGCCCTTCCAGTGTGGACAGTGCTCTTTCTGGTCATATAGTTCAGAACCTGGTTCTCTGACTCCTAAAAAATATTCTAGTAGACTTCTTTTGCTACTTAAACTAGCCAGAGTGAATTCTAGTGGCTTCAAAAAAGAATCCTGGGTAATTACATATGCAAATGTAGTTGAAAAGGAAGGGATTAATCAAATTTCCTTACTGGGGGCCTTCTCAGAACCACTAACATAGTGTGCATAGTAAGTCTCTATGGGGGAGATAGAGTGTGTCACAGAATCTTCAGTCAACCCTAGGGGGACTGGTTGACATCCAGCCACATCTCAGGATGGTCAGTCTTGCAAGAGATTTGTTTGCAAGAGATCTGGCCCTGAGTGTCTCTCTCATTCTTCATAGAAAGCACAAAATATTAGAAAAGAAAAGCAGAGGGGGTGTAGTGGATTGATAACCGGTGGTCAACTTATAACCCCCAGCTGAACTCAGTAACTGTAGTGCTGGGTGCGGGAGGCCCACCTGAGGACTGTTGCCAGCAGCATAAAAGGCAGACCTGGAGAAGAAGAAGCGGGCTGTTGGGAACTGAGAGAGGCTGTGGGGAGTTGGCATTCCTGATGAACTTGGTTGTTTTCATCCTCCGAGGAGCTCGGGACCTCGCTGGCACTGAGAATGGCTTTGGTTCACTTTGGGGAAGCTCTGGTCCTCACTTTGAGCATAGCTGCCTGGTTCTGGCGGGAAAGATGGTGCACTGCCAGCCTCCTGGAAAAGCTTGCTGCATTGGCTTCCCTGATGGGAACTCGGACATCCTGATCATCGGAGGAGCTCGGGACCTCACTGTTGTCGAGGATGGCTGTGGTACCTTTTGGGGGAGCTCTGGTTCTTCTGAGCATCGCTTCCTGGCTCCAGTGCAGATCCCTCAGCCTGCTAGCACAGAAGACTTTCTAGCTTCCACCACTGACCTTTGGGACTTCCCAGCAGATCTGTGAAACAGGTCCGCATGAGATGTTGTCATGGGTTCTGGGCCTCCAGTTGGATTAGTGGGAGGCATTGTTATGAGCTCTGGGTATTCAGCTCAACTCATGTAGGACATTGTTGTGGGATCCAGGCCCTCAGCTGGATTCCTTGGTCTTAGTGTATGGACAGATTTCCTGCACTCTTTTGTATACTGTTCTTTGGGTGACTATTATAAATAATCATATGAAGTATGTGTCCTGTATTATGTTGTTCCCCTTGCAAAATAAGCCCCAAACCAACACAGGGGGGTTATTTTTTTTGATCTGTAGATAGATTTTAACTTATTCCGTCTTCTTTTCTTTTCTTTTTTTTTTTTTTTGTTTTTCTCCAGTACCGGGAACCGAACTCACGACCTTGCGCTTGCTGGGCAGGCGCTTTGCCGCTGAGCTAAATCCCCAGCCCTTCTTTTCTTTTAGGACCTGTGGGTCAGTGTTTATTTTTGTGATTTTTTCAATGCAAAGCCTGATGGAAAGAAGTCCTTCTTTGAAATGTGCATAGAACCATAGGGGAAGGAGAGAGAATCCACATGAAAACAACCCATTCATCCTTCTCCTCCTAAGATTATGTATTACATACTGTCTTTTCAGACCTCTTCCTAAATGATTCCATTATGTTTCAAATTTTCTTACTCATTTTTCCACCATATTAAGTGTCCTGCACTTATTTACCGGGAGGAATAATAGCATGAAAAAATATTATGCACTTTGGTGTCTGAGATATTCAACTTCTAGCTCTGCCACTTACTGGTTATGTGTATTCAAGCAATTGGTAAATCCTTCTGAACAACAAACATCCCAGATCAGACTGGCAAACAGGGCCAGTGGGAGGGGCACTGCCTTGTGGGGAAAGTTATTGCCCAGTAGACAGAAAAGCAAGTAACCAAGTTATATGAGAAGGGGAGAAGCCATGAAAAGCTTGCTGAAACTCTCATACTCCTGGGCTAGCCCCTGGCAGAGACATGAGAAGACTGATTACATACGGGACTCCAATCTCAAAGATGTTGTTCTGGATCAACTGCTTTCCCAACATGATGATGCTGAGCTGAATGCAGAGCTCCATGAGGCAGCCCCCTGGGGCACACTGCAGGAAAGAGAGATAAAGAAAGAGCCGGTCAGACTGAGTGGCACTCAAGGGAGCAAAGATGCAAATAATGCTACGATGGGGGAAGGACGGGTATGTGAGGCTGCTCCCACAAAATGCCAGCCAGGCCTGAGACCCCACCAGCTATACTTACCTCCTCCATGCGGTAGCCATCGAACACATAGACGTAGCTTCCAGGTCTGCCCACAAACCTGGAATCCAAAGCACAGGAAGAGTTAGAAGAAAATGGAGTCTGGCAGGGTTGACAGAGGCTGCACCTTCATTGTGGCAGTGCTTTCTCCTGGTATCCTCCCAAAGAGTACTGGCCATTGGCCAAAGAGGTACCAAATCACCAGAAGCCCGCGTTCAGATCCTGCTACCAGATAGGCTACACTTTGAACCCAGTCACTGGGGACAGGAGCAGAGCCAAGCAGGGGCTGAGGCTCAGTGTACTGCGGTGCTGGGAGGGGTGTGGTATGGGGTGTGGGTATGGGGGTGTGGTTTGTATTGTCTCTAGGAGTACTGGCTGGGCACTTTCTTCCTTCTGCTTCCTTTCTTCCTTCAGTAAAGAACTGAATTTTCATCAAAACTCCTTGATAAGGGCTCATGATTTCCCAGGAAATCAAGCATAAGACTGACTAAAATTTTAAGTCAAGATCCCTGGAATCATAAAGGAATTCTGTCCTTTTTTTTGAAATAGTCAAAAGAAAGGATGAAGCCTGCCCCCTTTCTCTTTTAAGTACAGTTGATTTTATTGGGGTTAAGAAGGTTGGGCAGCTGGGGGAATTAGAGAGGGAAAAATCATGGATCCAGACAGGTAAACAGAAGAGTTCTACTTCCTTAAAACATCATCATCTCACCCATCTGTTGAAATCCTCCTCACCCATCTAAGGATCTGTCTAGATCTTTCCTTCTCTGAGGTCTTCTTGTTTCTGTCTATGACTAAGTGTTCTCCCTAGAAATGACTTTCTAATTTTGGCATTGAGGTGTGAGCAAAGACCCTCATGCACCCCAGGTAGGCAAGCGCTGTGCCAGTGAGTGCTACACCCCGCACCCCAACACTTTCTCTGTACCGCTTATTACAGCACTTGCCACAGATTATAGTGGTGCTATTGCCAAGCTTATCTCCATCGAGATAACACAAGTTTATCTAAGAGTCTACCCTTTTTTGTCTAAAATATTATATGTGCAATTTGTCACTGCTATTAAATTGATACAGAAAGCACCAATGAAGTACATACTCCTTAATATGGACAGTTTCTCTGCTACTTAAATTTCAAGAGAGCCAAGGACAGTCCTGGGACATCCCGGGATGTCCTGGGATGTCCTGGGACGTCCTGGGAAGGGGGCTGTGTTTTAGGTCACAAACACATCCATAAGAAATTGTGAAATCTATAAGCTGACAGTGCTTGGTCTCACTGCATGTTTGATGATCTTTTAGCTCAAGGGAAGCTTGCTTGATACAGCTTGGTGATGTCTGGTAGAAAATGTTATTGTAGGTTGCCAACTCTCCTGATCACAGAAATATTTATCAGAAGTGATTTCATATTCAGACTTATCGCATAATAAAAATGGTACTGGCTATTGTCCTTGGTTCTCAGAGGGGTCCCTAAATCCTTGAAATTCCCAGAGTGATAGCAGTGTCTTTGTTATTCATGGTGAGCCCCTCGGACCATACCTAAATTTATGTTAATGAGATTACGCAGAATGAAGGCAAGGGTTGCCAGATAGACCAACCATGTAGGTTGGGGATTTGAGTCAAGTGACAGCAGTCTGACCTGGGAGGGGGAACTGGAGGCTAGAGGTTGAGGTAACTCACATGGTAAATGATTCAATCAGTTATGCCTGGGTAGTGAAATCTCAGTAACAACTCTGGATACTGAATCTTGGGTGAGCTTCCTGGCTGGCAATATAGACAGATGTGCCAGGAGAATGATGAATCCTGAGAACCAGCAAGCTTCATGATTAAGACCCTCCTAGGCCTCACCTAGGTCTCTCTCTCATTTGTGAGTTTGATTTGTATCTCTTCACTAAAATAAAACTGTAAGTGTAAGAATAACATCATAATTGGATTTTTTGTGTCAACCTATATTATTGAACCTGAGAGGAGTAATGGGAACCCTGGAATTTATAACCAGTGGATCAGAACTGCAGCTGTCCTGGGAACCTCAGAACTTGTGGTTGTCTGATATAGGGGTAGTCTTGAGAAGCACAGTGTTCCTACCCTGGAAGCCTGTGGTAACTCCTGGTAGCATGAGAATCCCATTGCAAACCCTAAGAACTATTGGCTGAAAAGGAAATTTCCTTTTGTTTCATCCTCAAAATTGCCCTGCTTATTATTTCTCTGAAGAGAAGAACCAAGTAGATGCCAGTTCATCCCCACCAGGAAGTGAGAACAGGAAATGAGTTGACAGTGGGGACAGGTTGCCCTACTTGTCCCAGTGGTGGAGGACCATCTTGGTGACAAATCACTTTCCTATATATGCCACTGTTATACTCACCTCCCCTTGAAAAAGGCCACATAGAAGATGGGGGAGTAGGCATTGACAAACTTTAGCAAGAAAGCTTTAAGTATCAAGCGCTCTTCAAAAGTCTGTTCTGTTTTTGGAACCTCTGCAAGACAAGAGCAAAAGCTGATGAGACCAAGGCAATCCAGAGTCTTGATTTTCATATAAGCCATCATCTCTCAAGTTACCCCTTCAGAGTAGAACCTAACAGACCCACTTCTCTGATGCATTAGAACCAAATTCATCTGGGAAGCCCCACATGGTCTTCCAGATAATTGGAGGCTACAGAAGCAAAGGATATGTATGATCTGCACCTACTCCTTCTACACCCACTTCTAGTCCATAAGCAACAGTTTCCCACTGTGCTTTTCAAAGAATGGCCAGAGTAGTTAGAGCTTCCTAATACCACCCTTATTTCATCAAGCTTACTTCATCAGATTTTATCTGTATACTTTCCATTTCCTTAAGATTTTACTGGAGTAATGGTCCTTGACTGAAAAGACTTATCAAACACTGAACCAGAAATGTTGCTGATTTTTTCTCCTCCATTTCTAGTGGAAAAATATTCATCTATATGTCCTTCAGATAAGATGAGACATCTCATCCAATGACAAAGGCTCATCAGATACAATCTGAGCCATATGTCTCCAGCTCTCAGGTCACAGCCCCAATATGTCACAGTCCTAGAAGTGCAGTCAGCTGATATTCCTAGAAGAATCCTAAGAAGCACTGGGCAGAACTCTTGCAAGTGTCTTCAGAGGATTTGCAATACCTGGGAAGCTACAGTGGACATCTGTGTGGGACGTGTGATGGAAGCCCCACAGACTGTGACAAACGCTGTGTAAAGAACAGAAGTGATAAGGAATCCTTAAACAACTTGCGCTGAAACAGCAAAATTCCATAAAGTAAGTAGTTTATGGGAAGCAGAAATCTATTTCTCACAATTCTGGAGGCTTGGTAGTCAAGATCAAGGCAGATTCAGTGTCCAGTGAAAACCACTTTCTGGTTCATAGATAGCACCTCATTGCTCAAGTGGTGGAAGACCTAAGCATCTCTTTGTGGCCTTTTTGCATAAGGGCTCTATCTTCCTTTAGGAAAGCTCTGCCCTCATGACCTGCTCACTTCTCAAAGGCCAGTGCTTAATACCATGCCCTTGGAGATTAGGACTTTGACACACAAGTTGTGCTGGACACAAACATGAAGATATCATAAAAGGCTACTCTTTGGGGGCAGAAGGACAACATTATGATATACCTTATGAACTGATCAGTACAACCCAAAAGCATGCTGAGTACAGGGCCACAGTTCAGGGCCATGTCACCCAGGGAGTGCTGTGTCCAGTTGGTAGTATAGGCTCACCTGACTTGCCTGCCCACCTGATAACACATAGGTTATATAGGAATCCTTAAAGAAATGCATACAAGACCTTGTTCTGTCCCCAGGAATGCCCTCCCTTGATGCACACTCTCCGGGACAAATCTTTTACACTTTTAATATCCAAACTGAATGTTATCCATAATTTCCTTCTGTAGGCTTTCTTAGATGCAGTCAGCTGGCAGCAACACTCTTCTGTTTCCTTTCATAGCATTTGTATCTCTCTGTATTAATTATTTATACTATGCCCTTTGAAAATTAAGCATAATATAGCTATCGCTGATTGCCTGTGTACAGTTGTTTGGATCTCCATAAATCAAAAATTTAGGAGTATATAATTTGTATGGGAGGCTCTCTTTGGAGGCTTGATGTTAGGGTTTACATCTAAAATGTCCCCATGCCATCTCATATGTTTGGAAATGGGGCTTTTGGAAGGTGAGTACATCATGGGGGTGTAATATTTATTAGTGAATTAATCCATTGATGGGTTTATAGCTGAATATGCTGTTAAGAGGTGGGCCCTGGTTGGAAGAGGTGCATTCCTGAGGG